GAGAGAGAGAGAGGTGGGGTGGGGTGGAGAGAGAGAAAGCGAGACAGAGACAAAGACAGATACACACAGACAGACAGACCTGTCTTGCCGTCATATTGATAGCGATGTTTGAGCCGGAAACGCTTATGCAGCAGTCTTTTTCCCGTCATGCCTTCGATGTCGTTCGCGCCTCTGTACAGTTTGAGTATCTGCACCATTTCCAGATTGGTCCTGGGTGGGGTGAAGGAAGAAAGAGAGTGGGAGAAAAAAGTTTGTTGTTTTTGTTTGTTTTTTGGGTGGGAGAGGGGGGGGGGGTATACGTCATTTCAAAATAACCCTCTTTAGATCTATACAGTTCACTTAAAGTATGTGGCAAGCTTTACAAGATTTGTAGCTGGTTACTTGACATTGTGAACATATTTTGGCTTAAGTGTAATTGTATGGAATTGACGACTTCATCAACTCTGTTAGGTTATTTAGGAGGTAAAACCTCCGAATTCTACGTCCGCCTCCGATAAGACCGAGCCAAAATGACTTGAGAACCTCAAAAGCTCCATAAAACGATCTGAGTTCAAGAACACACAGTCTGGGATTCGATCCAGGGGCATCCGCTCTGTTGATCTTTTAGGAGACTTTTTTCTTCCAATTTTGCTTGTGAGGGTCAACGTGTGTGTGTGTGTGTGTGTGTGTGTGTGTGTGTGTGTGTTTGTGTGTGTGTGTGTTTAAAGCTATGTCCCAACAGGAAGACGGACGTACTGATTATTACGCAGAAGACTTGCGTATGTTCGTCTTGTATGGCTGTAAATATACTAAAGTCTCAGCGTCATGGTGTCTTACACATAACAATTTATGTGGCAACTGTACTAGCACACTACCGTCCGCCTACATATGCCTAGTGAGTGGTCTGTAAGGGTTGAGGGTGAAACCCCAGACGCTCTCTGGCTAGCCAGCCTCAACCAAGTCAACTCCCTGCCCCTGTCGAACAGCCTGGGGACCCCTGCTCTGTGCACAGGAGCAGGGGTTGCAGACGGAGCTCTGGCCAGGAGGTACCATAGCCCTGTGAGGTGCCATATGAGCAGCGACCCTTCGGCTCGTAAAAGGGTCCATACACATCCACCATTATGGTAGGTCTGGAGTCACAGCAGGCCATCCAGTTCATTCAGGAACTCACTGTCGACATCTTCTTCCCTCCCTCTCGTGGGAGCTCTACAGACGGGGCATGATACCCACAGACTGCCAGATGACTCATCGTGAGATGTCTCCGCTGACCCAGAAGGCCTTGTAGCTGTAAGGAATAGGCTGCCTGGAAACAGATGACGTCCCGGCTGACCCATGACGTGACGATCCTCTGTCTGAGTAGATTTGGCCATCTTTTGGATTTTTCTGCTCCATGAACGGAACTGGTGATAGCAGATAGCCAGGAGACAGCAGGTGGCGGGGATTGGGCAAACGCAAGCTACGCTTGGGGATGTAGACGACTCACTGTGGAAGGAACGCGTTACCCCTTACTCAATGGGACCCCTTACTGGACTGCTCAGACGATTACTGGCCATTGGTTGCACTTTGTGGCTCCCATCTCTCAGAACTAGAGAGTGCCTACACCCCCGTATAATTGTCTACTATCCTAAGAAATCCCCGTGAAGGTTGATGGAAAGCAGGACAGCGAACATTGCACCTTTGTTCTCTTGTGGCAAGATGTTTGGGCACAATAATAATAATAATAATAATAATAA